GTGGAATCGATACTGTTAGTTGTTGGGGTGAGCTGCAGAAGGCTTGGGGCCTGGGTTCAGTGTTTTCTTCCTTTCTTTATGTGAGATCTTTTGACGAACTTTATTGGAAAAAAATGCCCAAGGGCTAATTCCAAAAACATTGGAAGAAGTGATAAAATAATTATAGTAAAGAGTAAAAACTCCGAAATGATTATAGTTGTGTTTGATATGGAAATAAGTATGATGAGGTAAAAAATGTAAAGAACAAATGGTAAACGAAAAATAAAAAGTATTAAATGTGGCTTTTTTTCTCCCTCACTTTTCATACAAGGTTCTTAGATGTTAAAAAATCGGCTGCCATTTGCAATAAATCTTTAGTGCCTGCTGTGTAATTGTAACTTGCTATGAGTAGTGAATAAGATTTTACAGAAACCATGACAAGAGTACAAAACAAAGTTATCTATATCAAATCTTACATCATAAAAAAGTAACGGTTTCTTCCTCTTGATAAAGTATGGCTGGTTTTCTCATAATGTAGCTGCTCTGACTACAGAAAATGCTGACCCCTGACTATTAGCATCATTGCTTACGTTTCTAAGCATGATTAGGCACCTATTTTGTAAAGGCCGGTCGTACGAAAAGAGGTAAGGTCACAACACAAAGTGGTGAGATACTGGCCAACGTTGCAAGACTTATGCCTAATGTGCCTCAGTAAGGCACGGGCTATGCTTCACAGGTTAGGCGCCCATATGTCACAAGCAGGCAACCCACATGCTTACCAAGCATGTTACCGTACCGTGGGCTTATGTCGTAAAAGAAGTTGTCGTAACTTTCGCCCTTTCTTGCCATTACTTGTGAGATGTTATGACTAGCTCAAGACTGTCCCTTGGTACAGTCAACCAAGGACACGTACCACCTCTATATAAAGACCACCTGGCCAATATGACTACTTTTTGATGGTCCCTTTGATGAATTACTTATTAACACAAGCACAAAAACCCTGTCTACAGTGACTACCTGTCAACATAGACCAGATTTATCTGATTGGTCTTCTTGAGCTGGTAAGACACGGTAACATAAAGACACTGTAACATAAAGACAGGGTTCTGGGTAAGCATGGACTATCCAGAACCTTGCCTGAGCATGGTTCTGAATGAAGCACACTACTGAATAGACCATACCAGCAGGTCCTCCATTGGATCTTGAAAAAAACTGACAATGTTTGGTATTCTGCATAGGTAGACCTTTCAGCCATTCCGCCCAAGCCTTAGTCTGAAATCCCCTCACCGATATGGTAATCCCGACTCTCTGACCTGTGCCTGATCTGGTCAACCCCTCGATGACCACACATGGAGCTGCTTTGCTGATTCTGCTCTTTCCCAACCCTTCGCATTGCAAGTGGTAAAGTTTGGCGGCCACACAAATTTAATGTCTAGGTTATGAAGCAAGTTTATACTGTAATGTCCAACAAAAAAAAATGACTTACCCAAATTTTCAACTGTACACCTACTCCAGTCTTTGTCAAGGAATGAGTGATCCACCGCTACTGTTAGGTCACATTATGCAGATGGCTCGTTGATCAGTGGATCATAGGTTGCAGAAAGTCTGTGGCACCTGAGTGCAAGTTCCTTTGTTGGAAAACAAACCTACACATCTTGTTAGCATTCAGGGTATTTGGGAGCTTTTATGTGCTATTTTCTGATTGCAAATAGACAACATAGCCAGCCTGTTTGAATTACCCCCAAACCCATAGTTCTATAAGCCTGCTACGGAGGCTAACATCGTGTGCTTTACTTCTTCTTAGACTAGTATCTGCATTGGAACAATTTCGGTTAGTTTTGGGGCATTTGGCTCCTCGCCAGTTTTGCCTGCAGTAAACGTCGGACTGCAATAGGCAGGGGATCAGGACCAAGCGTACAGCCAATCGATAGGGAATCCAATGTGTTCCTTTGTTCTGAAATGACCCTTCGGAAATTGAATGCGTTTCATTTTCTGCTAGCAGCACGGGAGGGATGGAAGTTAAAAAAACTGGAGGGATGTCTGTGAGTTAGGTGGACGTTTAGGAGGGTCAAGTATTTTCTGCCATATTGTTGTGGTAGGCAAATTTATTTATTCCTTTGGTCTAATTTGGTAACTGCTTTGTTGGCTAGGGATGGATAATATACAGATATGGAGAGTGTTGTACGTGAAATAAATGTAATGGTAAAATATTTGCCATATGTCAGGGGGTATTTTCAGTCAACATTCCATCTAGGGACATCAATTTGGTACCTATAACGTTTTGTACATTGTTTTGAAACTTGAAATACAAATAATATCACATTTCAGTACTAAGGACAGTGGCAGTAAACACTGTAGTCAGGACAATGATATAATGTAGAATGTGTAAGGATTTTTCCTAGACCATCTTTCATTCTTCGTGAGTTTATGTAAAATTAAAAAAAAGATTTAAAATGCAACATTTGACATTTTAGGTTTCTTCTATTGGATACATAATAGTGGTAATGTGATACATGTTTCTCACTCTTAGCAGCCAATTATCTAGACATGGTATTAATAATCCTTTCCGTTTGATTTCAAATGCTTCAGGCAATGTTGGCATCTCTGCAAAAGAAAATCTGCATATTTTGCAGCATTTCTCCATGGCCCTCCCCAAGAGCTTTCTCAATGTCTACGTACAGTCTCCAGAAGTGTCTTGGGAGAAAAATTATCTTTTCTAAAATAAAGAAGGAAGTAATTCATCATCTACAGTTAGATGGAAAGCAATAAGGCCATCTGTCATTCACATGCTTGGACTATCAAAGCTGAAACAAAACAACACAATCCCACAGAGACTATATTGATGAATGGTTTGTTTCATGTCCGTAAATGTGCTATTTAGAAGTCCTGTAGAAGACTGATTTGTGCTCATCGATATAAATTTGGAGCCACAAAAATAATTAAATGTGTAGTCTAATACAATAGTTTGTGTTGAGTGCTTTGACAATGACAATGATTTTAAAGATTAAAATATTTCATATTTTTATAAAAAAAAATAGAAACTTGACTATATTCACCTACTATAGAGACCAAATCTAGTGTTGTAATAGATGTTAAACACGTACAACGATAACAATTTTTCTTGGCATCATGTTTTTTCTTAATCCCAAAATCAAGACATCTAATTGGCATTCCCCTTGTGTTGCCACAGATGTTTTACAGTTTACAAGGGGAATGGACTTTGAAGCAGAATAATGAGCATCAAAAAATTCAGCTTACCGAAATTCCTGAGCGTTTTACTAAATTATGCAGGGTGCATAGGAGGGTATCAAAAATTCAATTGGAGCTGCAGTAAAGTTGTGCGGTCGGATTATGATGGGTTTTATAGGTTAAGTTCTAATCACATGGCACAGTGCTCGTGAGGACGTTTGATGATGATTTAGTTTGGTCTGCTGGGAGAATGGTCTCGTGAGACCGCAGGCCACACCGAGTTAGCTTCTTGTTTCTCGATAACCTGGATAGTGTGTGAGTGTAAGTGTTCTTGGATTTTGAAGAATAGGTGTTACTGAAAGAAAAAATTAGGAAAATAAATCCCAATGACCAGTAGTATGCCAAGTAAACATATAATATTTAGATACGTGGCCAAGTGCAGGTTCAGTTCAGGTCATCCTCTTAGGTTAGGTGGTGGTAAACATCAGAAATACATGCACAGCTCTCTCCAATTTTACCTGCACTAACCTGCATATACCCAGTACACGGACCAGTGCAGGTAGACATCAGAAATACCTGCACAGCTACAATTTACCTGTACTAACCTGCATATACCCAGTACATGGACCAGTGCAGGTTAGGTGCTGGTAGACATCAGAAATACCTGCACAGCTCCAATTTTACCTACACCAATCTGCATATGCCCAGTGCACATGGTACATCGCCAGTGCAAGTTAGGTGCAGGTAGACAACATAAATACCTGCACAGATCCATTTTTTCCTGCACTAACCTAGCACTAACATATACCCAGTACACACACGAGCGCAGGTTATACACAGGTTACGCAGATCCAATTTTACCTGCACTAACATGCATATTCAGATGGGATTTCCATCCCTGGCATAACATGTCACCTTACATTTGTCGTGAAGCTCACGATACAACAAAGGCAGGCCCCAAGGGCCGCCGTGTTTACCAATCACTGACCTGACTGATGGAAAACCTGGTGGGGAAACAGGAACTAATAAAGTCGAGGCAATCCCATGTTTGTGTCGTTCTTGACCCTGTGACATCTCGCAGCATGCGGGGCCTAGATGCTCAGTCTACTGAGAAATTAACTCTAGCTTGTAACAGGGGTAAATACAGAGAAACTACAGCATAACAAGCCAGAATATCCCAGCCTAAATGTACCCAATGCGATGTATACATCTCTATCCCTCTATGGCAGGCTCTACAGACAATGAGCTACCTGCATAAAAACAGGACGGTACGATGCTTTTACAAATCAAATTCAAGCTCAAATTTAATGTAGATTGTAATAGGGTACACTCAGAGAAACTACAGAATAACAAGCCAGAATACCCCTGCCTAAAATGTACCCAATGCCATGTATACATCTCTCTCTCTCTCTCTCTCTCTGATTATCTCAAAAGTCAAAAGACTATGACATAACTGCACAAAAACAGGATGGTACGATGTCTTTACAAATCAAATTCAAACTCAAGTATAAATCCGTCAAAATATGTTGAGTTCAGGTTCAAAGTTCATTGTTCAAAGGACAGATTATGCAATCGTCTTGTACTTTGCCCGCATATTTTTTGTACTTTGTAATAGGGTGCACAGAGAATGCTTCTGCTTAACAGGACAGAATTACCCCTGCCTAGAATGTACAATGTAATGCTGACTCACTTTGGCCTGTTTCAAAGGGACTGTTGTTAGTGTAACAGACCAGAATATGCCGCTTCCTAATATGTTCCCGTGTCTATTTTGGCTGAGGGCGGCATAGTTTTCCACTGGAACTCCCGTGTGTTAAAAGTATTGGTGGGCTGTATCAAAATAGAATAATATGTTTCTAACAGGCATATTTTCTTTCTCTTCTTCTCCAGAACACCATTGGCAAAGTGACTCATAATGTCCACTGGTGATGTCGACCACCTGAAGGCTAATACACAAAGGTCAGTCATACATGCATATTTAACGTGTTATATGCGTGTTTGTTTGTCTGTTTGAACCTTTCTAGAAGGAAAAACATAATTGTTCTCCAAACACATAATGTCAATGACCTGTTCCTTGTTTTAAAATTTATTACATATTCCCCAGTAGTTTGATCAACTTAATGATCTGACGAATTCCCTTATAGTTTCCATCTTAGCGTACATGGAAAAGCTTTTAGTATGAAATTTGCAATAACATTGCCTATGCCAGGCATCACAGAGCTGTTGTTTAATGTTCAGTAATATTTCCAAAGCTAAATGTCACAGGAATACATTTCTTGCATGTTTTCGTGCTGATCTTTTAACTGGTAGAAGGATGAAAAAAATTTTGTTCATAAACTCCTGCTTTAATTTGGTCTGGAGTCGCAAACCAGTTACACTACACAAAAAGTTCTAGTTAATAGCTAGCATTACTTGTTTGCATCAAGCAGTTAAACTTGAGAAAATACTGCATACGTTCCTCCTTTCTTTATCACCAGTGATTAGAACTTGGAGAATCTCTCTTTACATCTTTCAAGGGTGTCATTTACTTCAAACAAGCGCGGTTTAATAATAGAGCAGCGCTTGACTTTCACAGTCGATGCATACACAAAAAGGCTTTCAGTTTTGTGGCTTGAATATCTCTAGCTAGATTCATGAGGTTTTGGGGGTATTTAGAGACTTAGAAACACCATACTCAGTTCCTGCCCTTGGACACGTTATTACTGTTACATATACATGAGCGTGCTTCTAGTATAAGTGGTTCACATAAGGTGCATTAAAGAACTTCAGGGCCAGGGACCTGGCTGATATTGAAATCTAACACTGAGGATTTAATTAGATTTTGGTTGATACCTTTTAGTAAGGGATGACTTGGAGAAAGTATGAGCAGAGGAAATGGGGGGATGATGTGCAGTTGTCAGAATCTGGCCGGAAGCCAGCAGGGTTTATGGGGGTGGCCATAGGGGGAATTCAGGAGGCCGAGGATTCCACGCTTCCTGGCAGTCTGGAATCTCCAATTTCTCCTTAGATTCTGGTTAATACCTTCTCTTTTGGATTGACCTGAAGAATATGTCAACAGATTGCTTATCAGAAAGACGACATTTGACAGCTTCAACCTTTAATGGCTAAACTTTACACATGAGAAGATAATTTTTTTGTTGTTTTCACATTGTCAAAATTTCGTACATTATTTTTTTTTGTTTATTATTCCAACCTCCTGAAAATGACTACCATAAGTCATTATGTACCCCATGCAAGCATACATATGTAACCAAAGCTCTGCATTTATAATATCTGTTTGATACAATCTTGCCTCCAAGTGTCAAAGAACCAAAGAAATAAATTGCCGTTGCCAAAATCCTTGACAGTATAATTTTGTTGTGTCAATAATTTCAAAGTATAATTTGCTTGACAATGTTCTTCTCCCCATGCAGTTACACACACATGTATGCCACCCCATCAGTCACTATCAGTATGCAGAGTCCTGCTGATCTATTGATTTAAAAGCTGCTTTTAATTACTTTCTAATCAAGATTCATGGGTTGTTAATACAGGGGAATCCTTTAAACCTCTGCGGGTGGGGGGCAGGTCTATATCCTAGTTAGTTTATCACTCTTCCTGCCAAATTATGCAATACAGGCACGGCACGAATATCTGTTTTCCTACTTTCTTTTCCTTAGACTCTAAAGGTTCTGGGTTTAAATCTTAAGCAATCCAAAATGCTGTGCCCTTGGTAAATGCACTTTACACCCATTTGCTCTCTCAAGTCAAAATGAACAAGTAAAAATGAAAGCCTAGCATTGGTTACAGTAAGGAATATCCCATCTTTAAATAGAGCTATAATTCGAGCCACTTTGAAGAAAAGTTACGAAAACGAGAACCGGTCCATCTTCAGTTTGACATATTCAAAATGTTAGTCACCTGTTATGCCGGTCATTCCACAAATGTGGTAAATTTCATGAAATAGACAAAAGCATATTATTCCATGTACATTCAGGTTGACTTTGTGCATTTTAATCCCAAATACAATCAGCATGTTTCAATGCGAAGGCTGAACACCCCAGCAGGCTGTGAACAGTCGCTGAGCCTTGATGACTTTCATGAGCGGGGACCATTTAAGTTTAATGGAAGATGTAACACTAATGCACCACTAGGTCCTCTGAGGAAAGGCGGAAGCCGCGCATCCCTCTTTTAACATGGGCATCACGGAACACTACTTTGAGAGGCAATGACCTTCGAATGGTGTACTTAAGTATAAGTAGTTGTTCGGGAGTCGAGGGAGAGCTCTCAAGGTCATGGAATACCTATCTAGATGTACCTTAAGAGTTGTGAGCTTGATATATAACGTACACACCGCTACTCACGAAGGTTATGCAAGTTCCTCCCAGTGTTTCATATTAACCTTCGATTCCATCTTGCTGACACCTTTGAACTGTAGCTGTGGATGCCTTGTGTTTTTCTGGATAAGGAGATAAATAAGAGGATTGGACAGGTAGCAGCAACATTATGTGCCAACAAATATTTACTCAAGCAGCTGTATATGATTTGGAAACGATCAAACGTTTCAGGTAGCATCCTCTACCTTTCGTCATTGACACTAGAGAGAGAAAATCAGGTATATAAGTGCTAGAGTAACTTTTTTTGGGGGGGAGGCGTATTGCCTGGATGTCAAACCTTCACCGACGTAACAAATACTAATAGGTGCAAACTTTTCTATCAAGCTCTCTTTTTCATGTTCATGGTTTCATGAAGTTACGCAAATCCAAGAACCAATGAATCAACTTGCTGCAGCCTTTACCACACTTCCATTACCAAGGATAAGTTGGCATTTGCATGGCAGCTGCCCAACTCTGATTCTGATGTGTTTCTCCATGTTAGGATGACAAATTACCCTCCAGCTTCCATCTAGGAGTTTAGCCACCGGAATGTCATCTTACCTGCAATCCTGATGAACAGCATTTCTTATGGAAATGAAGGCCTTTGAGGTAGTACATCTTTCCAAGCAGAAATTTTATGCCATATGAACATCATTTCAGAACGCTGATCAGGATTTCAAAAGCAGGCTCAAAAATGACAGGAAAGTTATGAATATCTAGTGTCTCTATGGTAACTGTAATGATTTTCCAATTCTGACAATATACTGTTAGATACAAAATGGAAGGAAGACAAATAACGAGTATGAACTTCCAAAACATTTGTCCAGGTAAAAAAAATGGGGCATATAAATATCACTTAGGGTCCCAGTTTTAAACTAAAGCTGACTTTAAATTGAAGGGAAAGTTATGAATAAAGGATTTTCTTGAGATAATTGTCACATTTATATATTTGAAATCGGACTGAGCCCAATATCTATTCAATCTATTTATTCATTTAGCTATACAGTACATTGTCTTGAAAATAATATATGTGTGAGTTAATTGTTTTCTTTCAGACTTGCTAAGAATTTACAGGCAATGTCTCTTTTATTGTTCTTGTTTTGTCTCTGGTGATATGAAATATGAGCGAGTGAAATAACATGCCTGGAATGGATTTCATTTGATAACCTTTGGAGAAGAAACTCTAATTTCCCTGCTGAATTTCTTGCAGAGTTTTAATGATCTCTCAGTTGAAAATGTCATTAACTTTGGGGCAGACCACTGCGATGAAACGTGGGGGTTGCATAAAAATGGAAAGAGAGAGTAACTGATTTTATTGGTCCCACTGCTTCGTAGACCTACTTCAGGCTTTAACAGTTCTTGGTTCTTATGATTTTTAAAAGGATAAAAATGCAGGAAAGGGACAATATGGCTTCTTTAAAAATAGAAGCCATAGGGAATAATGTTGCATATTACTACATTTAATGCCTGAAACTTTGTGAACTGTGTACATTGTAGGATTTTCTGTCAAACTCTCTTCCATGTCAAAATAGGAAAGAGAATTACCAAGTAATCTCAATCTTGTTCTCTGTGTCACTGCAAGATAAAAAATATACGATCTGTTGCTTTGAAAAGCATTTAGGTTCATTGTACCGTAAAATTCCCCTAGTTCTTTTCAACAAAAGCAATAAACAGTGTTCCTCAGTCCTAAGGTCTGCAACCCTTAACAGTAACAATATGTTGAATGTCTAACTCCCAACCTCTTGGTCCAGAGGAAGGGTTGCTAACCACTGGACTACGCAAACCGCATCAATGTCGATACTCCAATTTAGCATTACCTTCTAAAAGCCTATATCCAAGGAATCAAATAGCTCTGGCCTTAACATACCCCTTTAGGAAGCGTTTTATTGACTTTTTTATTATCATTCTCACCGCACATTGGTATGTCAAAATTTTCCAATAGTATTGAGCTAAGGGGTTACCATACAATGTATACCACAATTTTACTGTTTTTAGATGTTCCATATTGGCTCATTGTGTGAATAGTATGAAGGTCTAGTGAGTATAGATTTCTCTGCAAACCAGATATAGTTAGCTATTTGGGTGCAGAGATTTTGACTCCTACATTACAGAGAAAAAACATGGTTACAACTTGAAAAAGACAAACATTTTCAGAGAATTATAGAGATGAATTTTCCTTAACGCTTACTAGTCACTACTACAATATATGCAGGTAGAGGTCAGTAATTTTTGGTAAAAATAAGCCCACTTTACGCCATTATTTTAACTCATTGCCCCACAACCTATACCTAGCCAAATGGCTATATGTGTACCTCAGCAGGCTGATTGTTAATGCAAAATTTGTGTTGTAAAAATATGTGCCACTGTAACAGCAGATAAATGAAATCATTATCACATCTACAAGGCGTAAAACATTGCTTTGGGATGACATAAAATGACAGCAGCATTATCACTACAGTAACCGTACGATGTTTATGTCCCAGTTATTTCTAATGACAACCAGCATGATGCTACACAATATTAGGTTCTAACCTAGCTAAAGTCTTATAGAATTTTTACAACCTAGAGGGCTGTCAGAAGGTTGCAGTTGCTGTTTTTAATTGT